GGAATACTTTGCTCAGAATTATTATTTATTAATTTATTAATAAATTATTTATTATTTATTAATTCGGTTTGATCGACTTATTACATCAGTGGTGCGCGGATTCCCCGTAACCGGGGATTTAAAACTTAACAAAAGGAAGTACTAGCTATCCAAGAAAGCGATTTACTTTTTTGAATTGTACAAGTGCTTTGGATCAACCTTTTATTCCAGCACTTAATAAAACTAAACTTCGGCCTGTCAGGCTTCATACTTAAATGCTTAGACTCATTTTAAAGACGATTGAACTCTATGTTACGGTCATTTCCACCTCTGCTTTATGCTTAAGGAAGACTGTGGTAGATGTGAGTTTGTGTCTCTGTGGCCATGTTCTCTATAGAATCCTTAGCAATAATGGCTCATGTTATAATTGTCCGTGTTTATTGACCCCTGCATTCCCTTTCCAGCTCTTGACACCAGAATTATCAGTCGTAGGTTTACTGGAATATTGAGGCTTAGGTCACTGGCTTAAGGTCAGATTCCTGGTTGCTGGGGCTTAAATGGAATTAATATCCATGATCTGAAAGGGAGACTTAAAAGAGACAAGAGAGGAAAACATATTAACTTGATTTCCCAAATTTGGACCATTGGTAGATCTTCTGTAAGGATTTTAAAGGATAGTCAGTATCATGTAGCCATTTCCTTTAAACATCTTTTCCTGGGAAGAGACTCCAAAGGACCCAGGAAGTAAAAGAAATTGACAAGGCCCCAGGAAGCATCTGAAATTTACAAGAATTGGCCCCCACCCCCTTACATAAGCAGGGATGATGGCTAGGGATGGGGGGAGATTAGCTAAGCTGTTTGCCAGTCCTGCAGGGAGCTGCAGAGAAACTGCTCTCATGCCTGTCACAGGGGTGTGTGTGGGGGAGGAGGGACTTGTTTGGGGACAAAGGCAGCTGCCTTTTGCCATCCCTCTATACTTCTATAGTAACCCCTTACCTACACCCCTGAAAACCCCATAAACGCTGGCTCACTAAGACAGATTTGGGTGAAACTGTTTCTCTGGTGTGCTTTTGGTGCCCTTCCTGGGGTGAGTAGGCTTAGTCACATCTCTCTAGGAAAAGTCACACAGCAGTCAGCTGTTAAAAAATGGGGCTGGATCATGCTTTATAGTTATTTGAAAGACAAACTTTCATACACGGAGTATTTTTGGTTAATGACAAAAGGACATGCAGGCAGAGTTTTTGTCAGGACTGCTGGCTCCAAAATAAACACACAGAAATTTAATATTAACTATAAATGCCTGGCAAATAGCTCAGGCTTATAACTACCTAACTCTTGCAATTTAAATTAACCCGTTTATATTAATCCACATTCTTCCATGTGGCATTACCTCTCTTTCATCTTGCACCTCCTGCGTCCTCTCTGTGTCTCGCTGACGACTCATCTTCCCAGTTTCTTAGTCTGGTTCTCCCCTCTACCCCAACCTTATCCTATCCAACTATTGGCCAGTCAGTTTCTCTATTAACCCAGTCACAGTGACGTCAAGGACTATTCCTCAGGACATCACTCATCCTAGAAGAGGAGAGCTATTAGAAGGTGGGGAAGGCTGCCTGTCACCATGGCACCACCGCCACTCCAGCCACACCAGGATCATCAGAGACCTGTCAGTCACAGCATGGCACATGACATGACAATGCTGTTGAGCTGGAAATGACAGCAAGAGAGAGGAGGAAAATGAAGGCGCTTCCAAAACTGGTGAGTCCTCTGAGTGCTCCCTGAGGCACTTTATCAATGTCCTATAAAATGCCACTCTGCTCTTGCTGAACTGGACTTAGATCTACATACCAAAGACAGAATGTGTAGGGATGGTCCCCTTCACATCTTCATCCCGAGACTGGCTGGCATAGTAAAGGAAATTAAAAAAACAAAACAAAACAAAAAAACCCAAAAACCATAGAGGTCAGTACTGATTTTCCTAAGCAAAATTGCTGTTAGTGGCCAGGAAGGGAGGATGGGCATGGAACTATGCGGTGCTGTTGGTGGGTGGGGCACTGGGCCACGGTACCTGTAAGTACTCAGATAGAAATGACAGCCCCAGAAAAATGGGCTCACATTGACTTAAAGTAAATAGTATGTCCAGAAGGGCTTGCTTTTGGACAATCTTGAACATGACATTCCAGGATGCTTTCGGCATAAGAAGCCCAAACTCCAAACCTACAGATTCAACATGGCTGCCACATCTCATTAGGTACAAACATGAAGACATCAGTGGAGGGAAAACTTTTTGCTTTTGCTTCTTTGTTGTTTTCCTTTAAGATTGAAGAGAGAGAGAGAGAGCTAGGATGCCTGTTTTAATTGTATCATCTGGATATTATGTGAATCTGTACCCGTGAATCTCCACGATATGGTTGCCTAAGCATGACCTGAACCATGGCGAAACCAGTTGGCTCGCAAATGTGGACAGAGGAAATTTCACAATGCCCTAACCTCAGATGAATAACTACAGGCTGTCAGTGGCTGCCAGAAAGGTAGAATCAGTTTTTTCCAGGAACAAGCCCCTGATAGGTTATATAATCCCAAGTGGTCTATCCTAAACACTCATACATATGGGCAAAAGTACATGCATTCTGTAAGTTATAGGTGTGTGTTTGTATACATACATATACTCACATATGTGTAAAAATAATAATGAAAGAAGAAGCAATGAATTTGAGGTGTAGTGTTGGAACATGAGAGGAGCTGGAAAGGAACGAGGTGGAAATGATACAATACCATATTTATATGTATATAAATTCTCAAAAAAATAAAAAAGAATGAGAAAACCGCTTTCTAAGCCCCCCTACTTTCAGTAAATATTTGCTCATCATGTAGTGTTTGGAACTATGTCGTTGTCTCTTGCCAACAAAGCTCCGTCTAGGATCCACCACAGTTGGTGTAGACCAATCAAGATTTATGCTTAAATCCTGTGGAAGAGGCATAGCCTCCAGGCATGAACCACAGGCTCTGCCATCTTCTAAACATGACGAGGCAGAGAAGGGCAGTGGGTGGGGCTCTCACGGTTTCAATGTGTGAGCGCATGTGTTTTCCTTTTGAAAGCCTTGTCTTTAAGGTCTTTAAGGGCGTTCTTTCGAGCCCAGAGCCACTCTGGGCCATCTGGAAGGTGACGTCGTAGACATAACTACACCTGATCCCTCTAAGAACTTGGAGTGAAACACATCTTACTCCATCTTACTCCGGGGGAAGGGAAGAGAGGGAGGGAGGGAAGTCAGCTGCTCACTTCTCTCAGCACTGGCAGGCTGTGAAGAACACTTCTATCCCATAGTCATTATAACAACGACCATGCCCCCAGCACCTTTGTCAGCGGTTCCATATTAAAGGGTGTCTTAAATAATGTTCTCTAATTATAAAATGAAACTCACTGAGTAATGGTAGAGCTAGTGCAATCAATCATGGATCAGGAGGGGTCCTGGGGCTGTACCCCCTCCTTCTGAACTATTGGCTATTGATAGGTTTTGAGAGAGGTGGAATCTTTTTTCCTCTACAGTTTCTCTCTTATTATTTTTTATGCGTCTTCATATTCTTTACTTATATTTCTAAACTCCCACAGCCCTACTCTGGAAAGAGGTATTTTTGTCAGGGCCGGTCCTCAACAATTTGAGAACCCACCGCCGAGCCTGCTAGACTCCGTCCAACAATCAGCACCAAACTCACGGTCACACAAGCGGCTTGGTTAACCCCAGTGGGTCACAAAACAGTGAATAGACATAAACACAGAGAGACATTTGTATGTGTTGTACTCTAGTGTCCAACCCGAGAAGGAGTCGCCCCCAGAGACCACCTCATACACCACAGCCGATGCAAAAGCATGAGGATTTTATTAATTCTGTCATGACAGGGTCCCTTAGCATTCGGGAAGCCGAGAGACCCCGACTAGCTGGTACAGTCTACTTTTAAAGGAGAAGGCCCCATAGAAACAAGAGGGGTTGTGTCCTTGATCATTATGATTGGCTTATTTGAAAAGGACTAATACCAATAATTGACTGGAGAACTATTGTCAGATCAGATGAGGTAAGAGGTCATTTTGACCCCGTTTCCCAGGGGACTGAGTCAAAACATACGTGTATGGGTAATTGTTCAGGAACTGAGTACGTGCATGTGTAGCTGTTAGGTCCTTGGTTCCCAGGGGAGGAGGGGAAGCACTAAGGCACAGAGGCTGAGAGGGTTCAGAAATGGCTTCAGAATTGTCTTAAAGTCTTACATATGGAAGCGGTAAACAGGGAGGTAGAGAGTGGAAGGGGTGAGGGGTGAGTGGGGGTCAGTATGCATTACATATATGTGTTAAACTATTAAAGAACAAATTTAATGACTAATTTGTATTTTTGAAGTGTGAATGTGTGTGAGGGCTCACACGCGATTGTGTGTGTGTGTGTGTGTGTGTGTGTAGTTGTAGGGCTTACTGAATCTCTCCTAAGGGGACAGCAACGCTCCAGAGCTCACTGGAGAGCGAGCAGCAGAGAAACAGTGACTTGCAACCCTGCGACTTCAAAAATAGAGCCAGTGAAAATGACCCGAGCACGAACAGGAAGAAACCGCCTGCAGCAAATCTGGAAGATTTCCTACCACAGCACCATCAAAGGAATTTCAAAGGCGTCTTCATTTCAGTCAGAGTTATGGATGCGTGTCCTTTTTCCTCATCCCAACTGGCTGTTGCCTTGTCCTGCACGCCGGTGTTGCAATGTCTGAGGAAGTAACAGTGGCTGAATTCCATGTCTGGCTCAGTGTGGGGAAGAGGAAGCATGGGCTGTGACATTTGCATCCGGTCGAAGAAACCCTAGCTCTGCAAACAACTGCCACAGAGTTCCCTGCGGATGCAAAGCTGTATTTGAATGCGACCATCACAATCTTCAGGGAGGATGTAGCAGCCGGCATTGGTGCACAGTCCAACGAAAGAGAAACGGACAATGCGGAGCTTGGCTTGTGTGCTTTATACTCCATCTAAAAAGGCTAATTTCTCTTAAAAAAAAAAAGTTAGAGTGCCGCTCGCCAGGCGTGAGGAAAGGATAAGGGAGGTCACCGCCTGAAGGTGTGTCCTCTACGGCCGCACCGGCTGCCTCGGAGAGCTGCGAGCGTCGGGAACAACCATGTCTTACTGCCGGCAAGAAGGGAAGGATCGGATCATATCTGTGACCAAAGAAGACCATGAAACTCCTAGCAGTGTGGAGCTGGTGGCTGATGACCCCAATGATCCCTATGAGGAGCACGGACTGATACTGCCCAATGGAGATATTAACTGGAATTGCCCATGCCTTGGGGGGATGGCCAGCGGCCCCTGTGGCGAACAGTTCAAGTCTGCCTTTTCCTGCTTCCACTCCAGCAAAGAGGAAATCAAGGGATCAGACTGGATAGACCAGTTTCGGGCCGTGCAGGAATGCATGCAGAAATACCCAGACCTCTATCCCCAAGACGAGGAGGAGGAAGAGGAGGCAAAGCCAGTTGAGCAGGTGGAGGAAACAGCTGCTTCTGAGGCCTCTGTAGCCAAAGAGCAGGGGTCCAGCTCCTGAAGGCCGCAGGCCCTGGCCGCCACTCACCATGAGACTTTCTTCTGCACAATGCCTTTTGGTCACCTCTGTGAAAGTTCCTTTCCTCTGTGCACTGTTATGTACAAAATAACTTATTTTAATGATCGGGGTCTTGGCTACTTGCCATATACACTGAAGAGGTGTGTACACCTATGCCCTGTGTAAACCTGTCCTTGAACGTTAAGCCACTGCGGGATGTACTCTGTGATTGCCCCAGATTTTGTCACTTTGAAATACTGTGTTGTGGCTTCTCGGCAATCAAAAGTTGTTACTCAGGAAAGTTCATCGTGAAAAAGCTGACTTATTCTGACCCGTTGTATTCCTTTTGGTAGATTTTTACACCTCTTTGGGAAATTAAGTAGATACCAAAACTCCTTCAAGGGTATAGGTCCATTCCTATTGGAAGAGGCTAGTGGTCAGATGCTTGAGTTAGACTGCATGGGACTGCTACCTTGTTCCTAGCTCCTAAGTTTCTGTGCAGTCCAGACTCCAAGGTTGCAGGGTGGGATTGGACCCAGTGACTCCCAGTCCTTCCTGAGTGAAAGGAGAGGCTTGGGTTTTGCTTTATTGTTTGGTTGTTCCACAAGCCCTTGTTTGGGATCCATGTTCACTCGGTCCAGTCAGTTGTGACATTGATGTGGGGACCTAGCTGCTTCCACAGCAGAAGCCAGCAGAGGAAACGTCTGAATGAAGTACTCAATTAAAAAGAAAAAAACTTCAAAAAAAAGTTATTATATGGCGAGGAAAGGGGAGTGATGAGGAGAGAGGTTTAAGTAGGGAGAAGGGGAGAGTAGGCAGAGGCAAGGATGGGGGAGGGGATAGCTACCACTAAGGATATTTGATAAAGCTGTATGGAAACCTACTATTTTATGATGTATATGCATCTATATGTATATATGTGTGTATGTATGTACACACACACACACACACACATAAAGAGTTTAATTGGTGTATAACCAAACTGACTTACACAGGGTTTATGCTCCTCCCAGAAGCCATAAGTTGCTAAATACAAAGCCCAGTACCAGGTGTACAATATTTCTCTCTGAGTTTAATCCGAGATTGTCCCGAAGACTCCCCCCAAAACAATACAGACCATTGTTTTTCGCTCTTGCCCACTAGGGCTTGGTGATAAGATCCCATGGTGGAAGATAACACACACATTGGTCACAGCACAGGACGAACTGACTTGGTACCAACTAGGAAGCTCCCTTCCTGCTGATTAGCTTTCTGAGGACTAGAAGATGCTGTGCAGGCTGTCAGAGGGAAGTTTGGTGTAGAAGGTCCTTTTGTTTATGTGTTGCTTTCATTGGTTGAATAAAGAAACTGCCTTGGCCTTTTGATAGGGCAGCATTTAGGTAGTCGGAGTAGACAGAACAGAATGCAGCGAGGAAGAAGAGTAGAGTCAAGACACCATGGATCTCCTGCCTGGAACAGACACCGGTTAGAATCTTGCCGGTAAGCCACAGTCATGTGTCAATGCCCAGATTGATGGAAATGGGTTGAATTGGGATGTAGGAGTTGGCCAATGGGAGGTTGGAGCTGATGGGCCAGGCAGTGTTTAAATGAATACAGTTCCAGTGTGATTATTTTGGGTGTAAGCTAGCCGGGCAGCCGGAACAAAAGGGCCCGCTTATTACTACAGAAGTTATCCACAGTCTTACTCAGCTGTGAACTGTGCGAGTTACAAGAACAACCATGGTCAGAAATGTGCTAGCAGCATGGTTGTTCTGAGGCTGACCAATGCTTTCTTGTGCTTTTGGCTTGCTCTCTTCCAAAGAGGCACGTGTCTACTACTGTAACGATGGCCCCAAGCCCTGGCTAGGGACTGCATATTCCACAGGAGCGAACCGACTACTATCAATCTATTAAGTGGATGTGGCGTTAAATGGTCCTCTAAATTTGTACCCCTTCATCTGTAGGTCAGTGTAGCCATCAGACCGCGCCAAAGAACACAAATGGAAGATCCATGCTGTTCCTCATTTCCAGATTACAGAGACCATCCCACGAGAGATCTGGAGGGATCTTAAGAGCCGGAGGTTGGGGAAGACAGGTGGGAAATAGTGTCTTCTTCTGGATATGACAGGTGGGTGCACTCGTGAGCTCAAGCCATGGGCAGTTGTTTGCATGAGACCTGAGCAGCCCCAGCCAGTCAACATCCTAGTGTAGAATGGGAAGGGGTTCATGGGTCCCTACCCACAGCGAGGAGCTGTGGAGAGTGTGGCTTCTAGGGGAGGGACACTTCAAGTTTATGAACCTGTTAGGGGGACCAGGGTCCAGTGGAGGCTTCCATACCCGAGACTGAGCCATAAGCTCATAGCCCCTGTCCTCAACATCTCACGTGTATCTCTATTAAAATAGGGTCCAACTTTGACGGTCCCCACACTCTTTCAAATTTCCAGCCCTCTAAATGTCCAAAGTGTCTTAACTGTGAGATCCCTTAACATAAAAAGCAACTCATATCCCTCCAATATACAACAGCGCAGAACGAATGTTCTTATTCCAAAACTTAAAAATTGGGTCATAAAAAGTGATCGTTACATCAAAACGTAACCCAAATCCAGCATGGTAAATGCTGACTTCTGTAGCCCTATGTCTATCCTCTAGAGAGTATAAGGAAGTGAACTGGTCCCCAAGGGCTCAGGTAGGCTCAAGCCCCCAGCGCTGCCACCTGAAGGCTCCTCTAGGAAGCATAGGCCAGCTGCACTCCACAACTGTAGCTCTTCTTGGCTGACATCCCGCGGTGCTGGTGTCTCCAGCATCCTGGCTTGTCTGTTGCAAGCGAGGCTTCGCCTTCACAGCTTCATACCCTCATCTCTCAGAGCATCTCCATAGGGATTGCCAGACTTGCCACACTGCTCCCGGCTTGAGCTGCTCTCTAAGTGCTCCATGATACTGTTTCCTCCATGAAAGCACATGAATGGTGCTTAAATACTGCCAAGTCCTCCTGCTTGGTGAAGATGCAAGCCCAGCCCCCTTGGTGAAGATGCAAGCCCAGCCCATCTTGGTGAAGATGCAAACCCAGCCCCTCTTGGTGAAGATGCAAGCCCAGCCCCCTTGGTGAAGAGCAAGGCCAGCTCTCTTAGTGAAGATGCAAGCCCAGCCCCATCTTGGTGAAGATGCAAGCCCAGCCCCCTTGGTGAAGATGCAAGCCCAGCCCATCTTGGTGAAGATGCAAGCCCAGCCCTCTTGGTGAAGATGCAAGCCCAGCCCTCTTGGTGAAGATGCAAGCCCAGCCCATCTTGGTGAAGATGCAAGCCCAGCCCTCTTGGTGAAGATGCAAGCCCAGCCTCCATGAACCACTACTAAATCAGCTTCTCTATGCTGACCTGGGGGAAACAATTACTTTAGCAGTTTAAGGAGCAGAGAACACCTTTATTTCAGGCTGTTTTCCTTTCAATGAACATAGACCTTCACAAAGTAGAGCCTCTTCTGAGGGATAGAGTTTTGCCTTCAGGATACCCTTTAACACTGCTGTTTCTAAGCACAGGGAGTTTCTCTACAACGGTACCCATCTCTTTATTCCCTACAGCTGCTCCTTCAGCACCAGCCTGAATACCGTCTTGCCTTAAAATGTTTCTCTGCCAAACAAAGCAGCCTATCACCTTCAGATTTAACCCCAGTCAAGCTTTCGGGACAGGCAGAATTTGCCAGGTTCTTGGCTAATACACTACATGAATGGCATCATCCCAGTCCTCAGGAGAGTACTTATTCCCTTCTGAAACCTCACGGGTGGGGCCTTCATTGTCAGTGGTTTCTAATTTCAGCGCCGTTCTATTTTATGCTCCCTCTAGGATGGCCCATTTAGCTCTTAGAGCATCCTAGGCTTTCATAGCTCCACCAACAGGCTTAAAAGCCACCTGGCCTGCAACCCTTACAAGGACATTCGTCTTTCTGGGGGTGGCTTATTTCCTTTCATAGGACAATCTCCAGGATTGCCTATTTTCTTAAATGTTACATAACGCATGGTCGGATCACTGCCAACACACCCATGCCCGCCCTTTAGAGGGCCAAGGCCAAGATCACTGTAGCTTTAAAAGCTGAGGAAGTGTTTGCGTTTACCTCGGCACCAACACACAAAATGTCTTCTTCTTCTTCTTCTTCTTTTTTTAAAAGATTTATTTATGTATTATGTATACAGTGTTCTGTCTGTCTGTATACCCGCTGGCCACAAGAGGGCACCAGATCTCATTATAGATGACTGTGAGCCACCCTGTGGTTGCTGGGAATTGAACTCAGGACCTCTGGAAGAGCAGTCAGTGCTCTTAACCTCTGAGCCATCTCTCCAGCCCCCAGAATGTCTCCTTTAGACTAGCTCTACAACCAAATCTTTCTCACCTATGGGCTGAGGGCCTCTGACCCCGCCCAGCACACCCTGTGGACTGCCTTCCTGTCTCTTTGTCTGGTAACTTGGGAAACATGAACAGACACCGTATGGTTAATACAAATTCACTGAAAAGCATCGGAAAATTCTTGATCCTAGAAATCAACGCAAATGAGGTTTCCTGATCATCTCCTTTTATGTCTAGAAAAGCTGAATAAATATCCCAAGGGACCCCCCCCCCCGCCCCCAAAATCTAAAAGTACACTCTGGGAAACTGGTTAAATTAGGAACAGGTCATTGTAATTGAAATATTAGACAGTCATTAAAAACAATGAGTTTCAAATATTGAGAAACAAGGGAAATGTATTACCAGGCTATTACTGTGTAGAAAAGTCAGGTTATAAACCGATTTTGAATATACATAATGAGAAACACTCAGCAAATAAATATCATATGGAATAAAAAGATGTCACTTTTAGAATATTAGTGTTTATCTCTGGGTAGTAGAGCTACATTATTTTTTTCTTTTTTACTATCTCAAAGCTTCATTACTCATTAGGATATATTTAAATATATCCTAAGAGTCCTCCGTTAAAGAGTTTTACCCTGTGAGCAAACCAGCATTGGTGACCTTTGGCCTTTCAACCCACCAGGAAGGCCGAGATCATTGATACTTTGGATGTGTGAGACAATCTGGCTCCGCAGTTGCTGGACGCCCTCTCTCCCTGATGAATCCTCTGCTGCAACCTGCTAACGATGACACGTCTTGATGGCTGTCACCTGTCCCTGGGGAGGAGGCACAGCTGGGCGCTTCTCTCTCAGTAATAGGAAAGGATTTCCGTAATGGCCAGTTGAAGCCGTGGAGTCATCCAAAAGGGGCGTGAAATTATAAAGATCCTCCCTTAGCTCCAAACAAAAAAAACGGGTCCACGTATGGGTGTGTATGGAATAGATGTGTATGGTGTCTTTTGATGGGAGTATGGGTGTGTATAGAGGATATGTGTATGGGGTCTTTCGATGGGAGAATGTTGTAATGACAGCCATGTGTGGCTCCGGGCTAGCGTGAACCATTACTGCCCCCCCCTTTTTTCTGAGCTCGCAGATGGACAGAATTATGTTAC